CTTCCTAAAGAAAACCTCCTCCCTTGTAGTCGGGAAATGAGAGAAGAATGCAAGGAATTTGAGGTCTTCTGCAGGGGCTAAGAGTTGAATCAGTCGGGTTTCCCTGTTACGAATTCAGGTGCAAAAAAAAAAAAAAAAAAAAAAATTGAGCAAAGTTCCCCGACGCAGAAAACACGCGCATGCTGGACAAGAAATCACGCGTTGCCCAGGCAGAAAAGGCAGGCTCAGAGGGCTCAGCCCGTCTTTCTGTGCGCCCTCACATAGCCCGGCTTTATTCTGATGAGCAGGACCGCGAACCCAGCACCCAGCTGCAGTTTTGCCTTTGATTACTGTCGGCGAAAGGCTGTCTACTGAGCACGCTCTAAAGAGAAGTAGACCGGATGGTGGCCCGCGTGGCCAGGGAACTCGGCGGCAACACCCGGAAGGCGAAGCTGACCCTCTCACATCCGCAGAGACCAGTGTTCCAACACAGGTCTTCTTGGAAGGAGCCCCAGGCACCCAGGGGGTACGAATCTGCACCGCCCCCCGACCCCGCCTGCGCGCACGGTGCCCGGCAGGAAGCCCCTGCAGGGCGCACGGCTGCAGACTCGCCCGCTATAGTGCAGGCCTCCCTGGATACCGGCTAGCTCCCCTGGGGCGCAGCAGCCCGGGGCGTGGGGGCGGCTCTGCAGCAGGAGGAGGCCGGGCAGGGGGGACGGCAAGCGGGACACAGGCCCTCTTAAGGCTCTGCCCGCAGCGGCTTCAAACCAGTGCACGGATGCCAACAAGAGCCCCTTTGCGTCTGCAAACACAACTTGCTTCTTGGGTAGCTGGGGATCAGGAGGTCGTGCCGGGCAGGGGCGGGACAGCTGAGGCCGCGGCTCCCCTCGGGGAGGCCGCTGGGGGGCTGCGGGAGGGGTGAGCTGCGGTGGAGGCAGAGGTGTATAGGAAGGTGCCCTGAAGGCGGCACGGGGACCTTGGCAAAGGAGAAGGAAGCTCTGATGAGAGCGCAGAAGGACCGCACATTCCCACCTGCATCCCAACTCACCCTTCGCTGCGCTCTCCCTGGCTTGCCCACCCCACGGTATCCCCTGAAACTGGAGAAGAGGCACTGGCAAGAAGGGAAGGGGAGCCACGTGCCACCATCGGTTGCTGGAGGCGGGCGTGCTTACCCCACTCAGCTCCAGGCGGCAGGCGTGGCAGGGGTGTCGATGCCCCTGTCTGAGACCAGCTTCCCAGCGGGAATTACTTATTTGCTGTCGACTGCTAGAGGGCCAGCCGAGCAGAGGCACTAGTCCCTGGAGGCGGCCAATCAGAAGAGCCTTTCAGGATTAAACTGTGGGTTGGAGGAGGAAGAAGGAAAAGGATGTGGCCACAAGTGTGACTCAGTAGGTCCCAGCTACTCGGGAGGCCGAGGCGGGAGGCTCGCGTGAGCTCAGGAGTTACCAGACCAGCCTGGGCAAGATGGCAGGATCCTATCTCTAAAAACAAATCACAATATAATAATGATACTAAGACGTGTGACTCAGACATTTTGCCTCAGGCCCCCAGCACTTCGCAGGTCGCCCCCGGCAGCACTTGGGGTCATTCTAGGGTTCCCCAGTGATGAGAGTCTGTGATTGGGACAGCAGGGACAACAGCGGCAATGTTGAAACTGGAAACCCTCTCAGCTGTGGGACAGACAGGATTTGTGTTTGTCTGTCTGTTGAATTTATTTATTTATTTATTATTATTTTTTAGAGACAGAGTCTCACTCTCGCCCAGGCTGGAGTGCAGTCAAAAGATCTCGGCTCACTGCAACCTCCACCTCCCGGTTCTACCAATTCTCCTGCCTCAGCCTCCTGAGTAACTGGGATTACAGGCGCCTATCCTCATGCCTGATTAATTTTTTCTCTTTTAGTAGAGACAGGGTTTCACCGTGTTGCCCAGGCCAGTATCCAATTCCTGAGCTCAGGCAATCTACCAGCCAGCCTAGCCTCGGCCTCCCAAAGTCCTAGAATTACAGGCGTGAGCCACCATGCCCCGACTATTTGTTGTATCTACTTATTTAATTATTTTTATTTTAATAGAGACTTGGTCTCACTGTTGCCCAGGCTGGTCTTCAACTCCTGGGCTCAAGCTGTACTCCCACCTCAGCCTTCTATAGGGCTGGGATCACAGGCATGAGCCACCGTGCTCAGCCCAACCAGTAGCCTTTAAAAGTTGCCCTTTTGGGCCGGTCTAGGGGATTCACACTGGTATCTCAGCACTTTGGGAGGACCAGGTGGGCGGATCACAAGGTCAAGAGATCAAGACCATCCTGGCCAACATGGTGAAATCCCGTCTCTATTAAAAATACAAAAATTAGCTGGGCACGGTGGCTCACGCCTGTAATCTCAGAACTTTGGGAAGCTGAGGCGGGCAGATCACTAGGTCAGGAGTTTGAGACCAGCCTGGCCAACACAGTAAAACATCTCTACTAAAAACACAAATAATTAGTCAGGTGTGGCGGCAGGTGCTTGTAATACCAGCTACTCCAGAGGCTGAGGCAACAGAATCGCTTCAAGCCGGGAGGTGGAGGTTGTCTTAAGCCGATATCTGCCCAGGTGACAGTGTGAGAATTGGTCTCAAAAAAAAAAAAAAAAAGAAAAAAGAAAAAGAAAAGAAAAGAAAGAAAGAAAGAAAAGAAATTAGCTGGTCGTAGTGGCGGCCGCCTGTAATCCCAGCTACTAGGGAGGCTGAGGCAGGAGAATCGCTTGAACCCAGGAGGTGGAGGTTTCAGTGAGCCGAGATTGTGCCACTGCACTCCAACCTGGTGACAGAGAGAGACTACATCTCTAAATAAATAAGAAATAAATGTTGACCTTTTGGCCAGGCGTGGTGGCTCATGCCCTAATCCCAGCACTTTGGGAGGCTGAGGCTGGTGGATCACTTGAAGCCAGGAGTTCGAGACCAGCCTCACCAACATGGAGAAACCCCCGTCTCTACTAAAAATACAAAATTAGCTGGGTGTGGTGGCAGGTGCCTGTAATCCCAACTACTCAGGAGGCTGAGGCAGGAGAATCTCTTGAATCTGGGAGACAGAGGTCATGCCATTGCACTCCAGCCTGAGCAACAACAGCAAAACTTTGTCTCAAAAAAAAAAAAAAAGAAAGAAAGAAAAAGTTGTCCTCTTCCCATATCTTCATCTTGATAAAAACAATCAAACTTTAAAATAATTGTCAGTATGATAGGTGAAAAAAGGCATCTCATGATGGTTTTGATTACATTTTTAAAGTGGCAGGTAGGGTTTTCTTTCATGTATCATTGTCATTTCCATTTCCTTCTCAGTGAATGACATATTCAAACCTTTTGCCTATTTTTAAATTAAGCCATTTGTATAGTTTCAGTATTGTAGGTACTAGGAGCTCTTGGTTAATTAATGGGTTGCTGGGAATCAGGAGGTCGTGCCAGGCAGAGATTAATGGTATCAACCAAATGTATTATCTGTTTGGAAGAAAATAAGGGTAGACTCCAATCTCACAACAAAAATAATTGAAGAGCTTAATTAAAAAAAAAAAACCCTGTAAATTATAAGGAAGAATTATAGAATAATATTTGCATAATTTGGGGGTGGGAGAAATTTCACATGACACGATAAACAAAATAAACAGATAAAAAAAGACAAAAAGACTGACCAACCAAGATGTTACTTCTTCTTGAGTCTGTTTTGCTTATATTTTCTTAGAAAATCATCCATTTCCTTTAAGTGTTACATTTACTATGAAGTTATGCGCTGGGTTATTCTAGTTATTAAAAAGCCTTGGCTGGGCGTAGCAGCTCACCTGTGTAATCCCAGCACTCTGGTAGGCTGAGGCCAGGGTATTGCTTGATTTCAAGAGGTCCAGACCAGCCTGAGCAACGTGGTGAAATCCCAAAAAGTCTTTACAAAAAATACAAAAATGAGCCAAGTGAGGTTGTGTGTCCCAGTTACTCCCAGCTACTCAGGAGGCTGAGATGGGAGGATTGTTTGACCCCAGGAGGTGGAGGCTGCAGTGAGCCGTGATTGTGTCATTGCACTCCAGCCTAGGCGACAGCGCCCTTTCATTATTCCTAATATGCTTTATATGTGTTTTCTATTTTTTCATGGTCAGACTTGAGGTTTCCTTATATTTGTTATTCAGTTTCTTTTCTTTTCTTTTTTTTTTTTTTTGAGACGGAGTTTCGCTCTTGTTACCCAGGCTGGAGCGCAATGGCATGATCTCGGCTCACCGCAACCCCCACCTCCTGGGTTCAGGCAATTCTCCTGCCTCCGCCTCCTGGATTCAAGGAATTCTCCTGCTTCAGCCTCCCGAGTAGCTGGGACTACAGGCGCGTGCCACCATGACCAGCTAATGTTTGTATTTTCAGTAGAGACGGGGTTTCACCTTGTTGACCAGAATGGTCTCGATCTCTTGACCTCATGATCCACCCGCCTCGGCCTCCCAAAGAGCTGGGATTATAGGCGTGAGCCACCGCGCCCGGCCACTTGTTGATTAGCTTCTTAGGCATATTGATTTCCTTGTTCCTTGTTAATTATTTTGTTTTCATTTTATGATTTCCCCTTTCATTTTTCTACTGTTTTTGCCTTCTTCAGTGGAATGCTCTGTTTCCTTTATTTTTAATCTTTTGTGTTTCCCAAGAAATGCGTTTGAGATTGTATATTTTCTAAAAGAAAACCTATACATTTTAAGACAGAGTGCTTTATTGCTAAACAGGCTCTCATTTGCATTTTTGTTTTCTCTTTGACACAAGAATTATTTTACTATAAAAATTTGTAAGAGGTTGGCCGGGTATGGTGGCTCACACTTGTAATCCCAGCACTTTGGGAGACCAAGGCAGGTGGATCACTAGGTCAGGAGTTTGAGACCAGCCTGGCCAACATAGTGAAACTGCATCTCTACTAAAAATACAAAAAATTATCTGGGCGTGGTGGCAGGTGCTCGGAATACCAGCAACTCCAGAGCTGCTCTGGGACACAGAGCGAGACTCCATCTCAAAAAAAAAAAAAAAAAAAAGGAGTAAGCGTGAGAGTTTCAACTTTCCTGCTGATCTGAGAGGTATTGGGCGCGGAGGGTCGCGATGTCAGAGAAAAAGCAGCCGGTAGACTTAGGTCTCTTAGAGGAAGACGACGAGTTTGAAGAGTTCCCTGCCGAAGACTGGGCTGGCTTAGATGAAGATGAAGATGCACATGTCTGGGAGGATAATTGGGATGATGACAATGTGGAGGATGACTTCTCTAATCAGTTACGAGCTGAACTAGAGAAACATGGTTATAAGATGGAGACTTCATAGCATCCAGAAGAAGTGTTGAAGTAACCTAAACTTGAACTGCTTAATAAATTCTAGGACAGAGAACCCAGGATGGGACACTTAAAAAATGTGTTTATTTCATTATGTTTGGATTTATTTTTGTTTTTGTAATACAAAAAATAAATGTTTTGATCTAAAAAAAAAAAAAAAAAAAAAAAAAAAAAAAAAAAAAAAAAAAAAAATTGTGAGAGATCCTATTGGGAGGAGGATATCTTTTTCATGTTGGCCTTAAGTTTCTTTGTCAGCCTACCTTTCCCCTATGTAATAAATACTTATGGGTCCTTGCTTTTTGCTAAACAATGTGTTAGGTGCTGAAGTACAAAGGTAAACAAAACTGGTAAGATTGCTGACCACAAGGGTCTTCGCTTTCTAGCATTCAGAGAGTGTGATTTTGTTTTGTTTGTTTGTTTGTTTGTTTGTTTGTTTGTTTGTTTTGAGATGGAGTTTCTCTCTTGTTACCCAGGCTGGAATGCAATGGCGCGATCTCGGCTCACCGCAACCTCCGCCTCCTGGGTTCAAGCAATTCTCCTGCCTCAGCCTCCTGAGTAACTGGGATTACAGGCACGCGCCATCATACCCAGCTAATTTTTTGTATTTTTAGTAGAGACCGGGTTTCACCATGTTGACCAGGATGGTCTCAATCTCTCGACCTCGTGATCCACCCGCCTCGGCCTCCCAAAGTGCTGGGATTACAGGCTTGAGCCACTGCGCCCGGCGTGATTTTGTTTTTAAGACAGAGTCTCACTCCTTTGCCTAGGCAGAAGTGCAGTGGTGCAATCTCAGCCCACAGCAATATCCGCCTCCTGGGTTCCAGGGATTCTCCTACCTCAGCCTCCGGAGTAGCTGAGATTAGCCGTCCCCACGCCCAGCTAATTTTTGTATTTTTGGTAGAGAGGGGATTGCACCATGTTGGTTAGACTGGTCTCTAACTCCTGACCTCAGGTGATCCACCTGCCTCAGCCTCCCAAAGTGTTGGGATTACAGGTGTGAACCATCACGCCGGACAAGAGTGTGATCTTTATGACCTGTATTTTGGGGGAATTTATTGAAATTTTCTTTCGTGGCTATAAGTGATCCATTTTTATTTTTTAAAAAAGTGTTTTCTAATTTGCTAAAATGAAGTTCTCTCACTTCCCAAATCCTGAGAAAGGAATTTTCATGTCTCCTATGATGGTTGGGTTTTTCTCACATTCTTGTGTTTCTGACAGTTCAGGGTTTCTATTTTGTAACACTATGTTGTTTGGTAGGTGAGGGCTCACTACAATTATTCTTCTTGGTGATTTTTTTCTTATATCAATGGTTGATAAACCTCTTTATCCCATTTAATGATTTACCTTTAGGTTTATATTTATTTGTCTATTTGATACACCAATTTTGCTTTGTTAATACTAATCTTTTTTTTTTTTTTGAGATGGAGTTTTGCTCTTTTGCTCAGGCTGGAGTACCATGGTGCATGATGCAATATCGGCTCATTCCAACCTCCACCCCCCTCCCTCCCATCCCCCAAGTTCAAGTGATTTTCCTGCCTCAGCCTCTTGAGTAGCTGGGATTACAGGGGTGTGTCACGTACGCCTGGCTAAATTTTTTGTATTTTTAATAGAGATGGGGTGTCACCATATTGGTGAGGCTGGTCTCGATCTCCTGACCTCAGGTGATCCACCCATCTCAGCCTCCCAAAATGCTGGGATTACAGGCATGAGCCATCACACCTGGCCGTTAATATTGATCTTTTAGGCCGGACGCGGTGGCTCAAGCCTGTAATCCCAGCACTTTGGGAGGCTGAGGTGGGTGGATCACAAGGTCAGGAGATCGAGACCATCCTGGTCAACGTGGTGAAACCCCGTCTCTACTAAAAATACAAAAAAAAAAATTAGCTGGGCATGGTGGTGTGTGCCTGTAATCTCAGCTACTCAGGAGGCTGAGGCAGGAGAATTACCTGAACCCTGGAGGCGGAGGTAGCAGTGAGCCGAGATCGCTCCATTGCACTCCAGCCTGGGTAACAAGAGCGAAACTCTGTCTCAAAAAAAAAAAAAAATTGATCTTTTATAGATTTATTGTTTAGTGTTTATTTCTCTTTTATCCACTTTCTACTATTTGAGGTATGTGATTATTTTGAAGGAAGAGAAAGTAGCTAGATTGTTTTTCCAGATTTCTCCTTCTCTTGTTCTTGGTACTTTCAATAAACTCTAGGTTTTCAACTGACTGTCATTGCATAAGAGTTGTTTTTCTCTATTTACATTGGTTAATGCCAATTATTTAGCTCAGCGTGATCCTGGCATTGTTATCAAAGCAAATGTAGACTAAAAGAGCAGTTGTTTAGACAGTTATTTAGATCTCTTTTTGTCAGGATTATGTGCATTTATCCTGCACACTGAAAACCCCTAAATCTGGCGAAACACACAGACGTATGTAAAAGTTTCAAAGATCCTAAAAACCTTTCACCCACAGAGATCTTGAGTTGGAAGAACATACTGAGCCAAATTTAGATCTGGAAATGATCTATCACAATCTCACTGCTTAACATAGTTGGAAACCAGGCAGTTGGGCAGGCATTGCCTCTGTAGGTGCCATGGGAAGAGGTCAAGGTCAGAACTTATTTTTGCTGGACAAACAGTGTGGGGTCAGGGAAAGGTAACTGAGTCTCTGAGTCAGAAGTGCTAGATCGCAAGCTTGGCCATACTGCCTGCCAGTGACTACAGAAACGCTGAAATTTTGATTCTGCAAATGGGATAATGGTAACTGGCTACATCAAGGCATTGTTGTAAGAAGATGAAGACAATGGCCGGGTGTGGTGGCTCACGCCTGTAATCCAAGCACTTTGGAGGCCAAGGCGGGTGGATCACCTGAGGTCGGGAGTTCAAGACCAGCCTGACCAACATGGTGAAACCCATCTTTAAAAAAAAAAAAAAAAAAAAAAAGAAGATGAAGACAATGAATTACCAAGTTATATATGTGCAATACTTTGACTTCTCAAAACTTTCCTTTTTTTCTTCTTCTTTTCTTTGAAACAGGGTCTCACTCTGACATCCATGCTGGAACACAGTGGTGCGATTTCAGCTCACTGCAACTTCCAACACCTCTTGGGCTCAAGTGATCCTCCCACATCAGTCTCCTGAGTAGCTGGGACTACAGTCAAAAAACCATTTTTTTTTTGTCCTGAGACGGAGTCTCACTCTGTCTCCCAGGCTTGAGTGCAGTGGCACAATCTCAGCTCACTGCAACCTCTGCCTCTCAGGTTCAAGCAATTTTCGTGTCTCAGCTTCTCAAGTAGCTGGGACTACAGGTGAGCACCACCATGCCTGGTTAATATTTGTATTTTTAGTAGAGATGGGGTTTCACCATGTTGGTCAGGCTGGTCTCAAACTCCTGACCTCAGGTAATTCACTTGCCCTGGCCTCTCAAAGTGCTGGGATTACAGATGTGAGTCACCATGCCCGGCCTCAAAAACCTTTTAGTACCTTATTTAATTTTGATTTTTAGAGGCAGGATCTGGCTCTGTTGCCCAGGCTGGAGTGCAGTGGTACAATCATAGCCCACTGCAGCCTCCAACTCCTGGGCTAAAGCCATTCTCCCCCACCAGTCTCCTGAGTAGCTAGGACTACAGGTGCATGCCACAACACCAGGTTAATTTTTAAAATTTTCTGTAGAGATGGGGTCTTGGTATGTTGTCCAGGCTGGTCTCGAACCCCTGGCCTCAAACTATTCTCTCTCCTCAGCCTCCCAAAATGCTGGGATTATAGGCATGAGCCACTGCACCCAGTCAAAAATCTTTTAATATTTCATCTTACTTTTTCCCTATGGCAAACTTTTTAAGTTGGTATTATGATTAGCTCCAGTTTACAGATAAGGAAGTAATTTCTCCAAGGCTGCTGAGTTAATAAAAATGCAGATTCTGGACTTGAGCTTCATTTTCTGACTGCAAATCTCGGGATCATTTCATTGTACCCTGCTCCTTGTGAAAACATCTTGAAAAACCCAAAGTACCTCACAATGTAAGGAATTAGTATTAATATTCTGGAAGAGATGTATGGAATTATGAATAAATCTTCAGAAGACAGCTGCATGCAGGTAGATCGGAAACTGGAAGGAAACTCCAGAGATTCTCTGATCCTGTCCTTTGCAAATGTGGAGTGAGCAACTGCTTAAACCTTTCAGGACAGAAGAATAACTATTGATTTTTCTGTCGTGTCTAAGACTAAGGCTTTTACAACCTTTGGCAGACCATTCCAGAGCTGGGTTTACCTTTTCTTCACGACGTAACATAGGTCTTTATATTCTTCATAAATAGCTCTAGGACTGGCTTTGTCATTTTACTGACTCTTCTGTCCTTGTATAATGTTCTGGATATGCTAACTTAGGTTAGAAAAGCAGCTTGCTTTTTATAAGAATCCAGTTTCTTTTCCATTGGTTTCTTCCTATTAGTCACCCAGGCTGGAGTGCAGTGGCTCCATCTCGGCTCACTGCAACCTCTGCCTCCCAGATTCAAGCAATTCTCCTGACTCAGCCTCCCAAGTAGCTGGGATTACAGGCATGCACCGCAACTCCTGGCTTTTTTGTATTTTTACTAGAGATGGGGTTTCATCATGTTGGCCAGGCTGGTCTTGACCCCCTGACCTCAAGTGATCTGCCTGCCTTAGCCTCCCAAAGTGCTGGGATGACAGGCATGAGCCTGAATTTTGGTTTTTCAACATTAATTCTAAAAATCCAACTTGATTAATTCCTTTCCTCTTCCTTTCTTACTTTTTCTCCTGAATTTTTTATCCCACAAAACTATTTGTTTATAAAAGCCAGAATCAGATTGGATCAGCAGCTCTTGTTGATAACCACAGGCAAACTGCTGGTCTCCTCCCAGGCCATCGTGACCCACTCCTGGCTCTTCTGGTTAATCCACTAAAATTAAGCAGTTTAATTTTAAAGGTCACTGGAGTGTAGCCTAAGGTGTCTTGGGTGGCTGTGACTGACAAGTAGTAAGGAAGGCCCAGGTTCCTACCCAATAGAGGATGGAGTGACATCTATCTTACAGTGTCCCAGCGGTGGGATGTCCAGGAATCTCTTGACTGGGCTGTCCACTGTTTTATCTTCTCCAAAGTCAAGAGGCTTGCCTTGGCCAGGTGCAGTGGCTCATGCCTGTAACCCA